TGAATTGAGGAAAATAGAATTCCTATCTCCTTTGCAAGTATTTCGTATCACCAATGTTTTAGCCAAAGAGCACGATTTGCTGAGGGTCTTCTTTACCATGAATGATGAAGAAAAAAAAGATTATGTATTTAATCTTATGGAGCATGGCTTACAATGATTGTGATTGATGAGTAATGGGTGAATGACTTTTGTGGAGATTATATATCTTTTCTTTTGGTAGTATGACTATTATGTATTTAATCGTATGAAGATTATGCAAGTTATTATTATTTGATTGTTTACTAGTTACGTAGGTGAAAGATATATATTTATTGGAGTTTATTTTTTCGTTTGAAATTGGCTCTGTACAAAGGTGTTATTAACATGATCATTGAATTGGCTCTGCTTATGTTAGTTTTCTCTGTGCTCTTTGTAACTACTTAGCCCTTAGGTGACTTCTTTTGTGAATTTTATCTCACTTGATCAAAGATTTCTTAGCCAGGTTAGCTTGTCTAGCTTTTGGTTCATAATAATTTTCTTTGATAACGGATTTCCTGTTACTGATAAATTCAAAACCCCTTTTCCGATAGTTTGGTCTGTTCTTTGCTATTTATTGTGAATTTGTGATACATTTTATAAATTCTTTGATAGAAAAGTGCTCATCTGATTCTAAATTACTTTTGTTACTTATTGTGAATGCCTCGTTGAGAGTGTGCATTTTTCTGAAATTTTGTATTCATGCAAATATGGTTATTGCATGAGCAGTAGAATATTTCCTTAGAATTCTTGGCCTTATCTTATTACTTACTAGTTCCATTGTGAAGTGATATTGATCTTTCTCTTTCTGTTGACAATTATCTAATTTTGTTCCCCAATTACCAAATCCTTCTTGTTTGTTATATGACACCAATGTTTCAAGACGAAGGGTCATCATCTGCAACTTCATCTCCTCTCCAATGTCTCGAATCCTCAAAGCTTGGCCTGGTCTTCACCGAGGCTCTATTGCTGCTTCCCCTTACTTCACTTGTGCAAATCATGTTTACACTGCCTTATTGAGAATCATACATGTGCTGTGGTGAAAATGCGTAGGGAATTTTAGTAATCAAATTAATTTGGATTTTGGCTCATGAAAATTAGTAAACAATAACAATGGGAATCAATCATATTTCTTTACTAGTTCCGTATGTTTAGTAAACAACTTAATGGAAATGATTCTTCCTATATCAATTCAGCAATTCTCCAATTTCTAAGTTATCTTGTTCCTTACTTTCCTCGTTACTGAAACGTAAACATGCCTAAAGTTTTACTCTGTCGCGAACGTTTGCAAAAAAAAGTTTTACTCTGTCGCGAACGTTTGCAAAAAACCCTCTCCCTCAACTCTCTCACGTCTCAGAAACACCATCTCCCTCGCGCTATCCAGGTCACATCTCTCAACTCGTCTGATCTTTCTCTATCTCTCTGTCCTTCCTCTCTATGCTATCCTATGTGGGCGTGTGTCTCTCTCCACTCAAGTCCTCAACCCAATCTCATAATACGAAACGCTCTCGCTTGCTCCTTTGCTCTTTCCACATTAAATAGTGTATCCTTAGAGCAAAATTCCCAATTCTTTGGGGTTTTTACTGTGAACTTATTACCGCAAACCTTCGCAACTCTAATTCCTGGCTTTCTGAGGCCAAACTAACCAGATTTTTCAGGTATTGCTTTTTTTCTTTTCCCTGCACTATCTCTTCATTGTTAGGGTTCTGGTTTCGATTTCGACAGAAGGTGCTCGAATTCGTTTCTGGGATATTTATCCTTTTCCTTTAAATTTTGATAGTAGGTTGGTTTTCACTTAAGATTTGATGCCTAAGTCTGATTGTCAGCACATTTGTATTGGGTGTTCGCGGATTATGTGTCTTCCATTCATAAGTTCCCGACATAATATTCTCAATAATAATATATACCCCGTTTTCGAAAGTTTATTTTTTAATTTGTAGGGATTTTAGGTTCGTTTATTTCAAATGCGTGCAGTTAATTTAATTCTTCTTGTGCAGTGCAGTCCTTAGTTTAATTGTTTGTTTCAGAGGTACAATTTGAGGGTGTTTGAGTCGCATTCTGGTCTCTGAGGGATTAAATCCTTAAAGTAAATGACGCAACCTGTTCTAAATTGCATGTCTGACATATATGTAATATGTTCTGTTATTTTATTTCTTTTACTCTCTTTTTTGTCTTTTAATGTTATTTTCCCCATGGTTGCTGACCAATAATTACTTTCTTATGTTCTCTTTCTGGTTCCTGCTTGCTTTCTCTAACTGTCTTAATAACTAAATTCTTGGAATTCTAGCTTTCTGTTTCCAGCTTTTGGAGGTTTGCTATTTGGGTATGACAGTGCTCCACTTGTAGTGGTTTGTTTTTTCTATTGTTTTGATGCTCATTAATTTAATACGATCAAGTTGTTATATTTTGAATCTTACTCAATTTGCTCCTGTGGCATTTGCAAACTTGCGGTCTGTCTCCCAAAGTTCACCAAGCATTTATCAAACAATCACAAATTACATTATTTTGATGCAGTTTAGCCGTTCCCTATTTAGAGCTTCTTTTGGTTCCCTCCTTGTCTACTGAACTGCTGATTTCCTTGGTGTGCATTTTGCTTTGCATATGTACTTTATCATGAGAGTTGGAGCTTGATCCAATTTTTGCATATGTACTTTATCACCGTCGTCTATTGCGATTTTTGTAGTAGTGTTAAAGACCACCCTGCCAGACAATCCTGGCTCCGGCCCTGGGTCCCGTAACTAGAACTGGCCTTAGATAAACTTCCTAGGGGCATGTTGGGATTGGAGGTGTTAGGCCTCATGTGTTTGGCCTTCACATATGTTATATCATGTGGATCTTTGGGAATATAATAGACCTTCTCATATACCTTTTATGTTCCCAGGGAATATTGCGTAAATTACGTTTGCCTTCCGAAATGCTTTAACTTATAAACTCTTTATGTTCTAGTCGGTCAAGAGTTATATAGCTTAAACTATTGATGAGTGTTTGAATTGGTATTATTGGGTATAAATTCAATACTTTAGAATGAATATCTCCTCATGCACCCCCAACACCTAAATATTGTAATAGAAGAAGATTATTTTTAGTGTTGTCATGTATTTTGTTTCCTATAGACGGGTATTATTCATTCTCTGTCTCTCTCTCTCTCTCTCTCTCTCTCTCTCTCTCTCTCTCTCTTGCAGAAAAGTTTGTTCATTAACAGTACTGCAGAGAAGATTCAGAATTGAAATATGTCCAGTGGCCCTGGTCTTGAGTCACTTGTTGATCGTATGTAAATTCTCGACTATCCATTATTACTTCCATCAAATATCAATGCTGTTGATTACTATGCATGAATATAGTTTTTGTATCCTATACCCAAAGTTACCCCATTTAAGGCAGGGCATGAGCCTAGGCATTATGCTGTGAGCATTTCAGATCTCTCTCTCTCTAACTGTTTAAAGCATTTCTATGTGCAGAAACAATTTCAGTTATCACAAATGATGGACGGAATATTGTGGTATATTATACACTAATACTCTAATGCACCTTTTACTTCTTAATGATCGAATTAGTTTTACTGACAATTTTTATTTTTATTTTCTAATTCAGGGAGTCTTGAAAGGCTTTGACCAAGCTACGAATATCATTCTCGATGAATCTCATGAACGTGTTTTCTCTACAAAGGTTTGCATCTTCACTGTAACATTTGTTATTTTCCTCAGGACATTCAGTGTCTTAAGTTTTAATTGGTGCAACTATGTTTCCTCTCTACTGCCTGACACCCTGCTCATGGGGGTATTGTTGCCAAAGTACTATATACAAAACATATACTCGTTTTATTGTCCCACTGACACTGTGGTAACTTCTTGTTATTTCTGACTGGCAGGAAGGTGTTCAGCAACTCGTGTTGGGGTTGTATATAATCAGAGGTGACAACATGTAAGTGTCAAGACTTTATTCTATTTACATTAGTTACCCATTGGTTGCGGGAAGTGAATTGGATTGAATTAGACTTTTTACAAATTTCTTTGTACTTCCTATAAATATTTATCCTCCAATTGTTGCAGAAGCATTGTTGGGGAACTAGATGCAGATCTTGATTCTACTGTTGACTGGTCGAATATGAGAGCTTATCCCCTCAAGCCTGTCATCCACTGATTCAGCATGAAAGCCATGGAACGGTTGTGGACTCGATAGGTTGTGACCTACCAAATAAATGTCATAGCATATGAGTGATTCAATGAAGCAGAATAGGTATACACTGATGGAAATCCGGGTTTGCTATATCCATGCATAATAGGTTTCAAAAGGTGTTTCCCAGTATCATTTTCTTAAACACTGATTCAATGAAGCAGAATTATCAGCATGAATGTATCTATTTGCAACTTTTGGATTCCTTCGATCCCCAATATATATTTTAAACGATGTTTCTATTTCTTATCAAGGAGCATATAAGTGAATGGGTTCTGTCTTCAGAAAGTGAATGAATGATTTTTTCAAATTTTTTTTTGGGTACTGAAGTTCTAGTCTTGATTATCTCTTCAAAGTTGACCGGTTTTCAAATTGTATGTATTAAAAAAAATATTCATTCATTTTGTTCTTGAAGAAACCACGTTCATTATGAACTCTGAAATTCGAATTCTAAATAACTGGACAGGACCAAACTCGCTTCATGCTTGAAGCAGGTTGAGGTTCCACCGCAAAACCAATTGGTAATGGGGAGTAGCCCAACACCATATCCTTGTAAGGTTTTCCAACTTTCCAATGTGAGATATTTTCACCTTTACATTCTCACAATGCTAAGCCAATGCACTAATTAATGGACTCGTATAGTGAAGGGGGAATTTTCACTACATATTTAACCGTATATGATGTATGCAACTACGTAGTAGTTGAAAATCATAGGACTCCATTGCTCCACCACTAAACACAGTTAAACAGTCCATCGCTCCCTTCTTTTGGATGCTAGACAAAGATAGCTAACAAAAAAACAAGCACAAAGATAGATAGCTAACGAGCTAAACTTGAGGAGGAGAAGCGAAACTGCAAAACCTTCATATTTTCCGTGCATACTATTTCGTGACAGCTAGCTAACCATTAAGACTGATCCTCAACAACTAAACAAACTTAGGAGCAATTACCGAATGTTAAATCTGGCTATAAATACCTCTCCCTCCATTCTCCTTCTTTTACATCTGTAAGTTTGAAACACATATAATGGCTTGTCATCAATGTCCCAATGCCAATATCTGGTGCTTTGTTTTGGGCCTTTTCATCGCCATTGCCAGCTTCGTTCCAAACCCGAGTTTCGCTAAGAAAACCAAAGTTGATGGCTTGAAATTGAACGTGATCGATGGTTGCTGGAGATGGAACTCGGATTGGAGAAGGAACCGCCAGGAACTTGCGTTATGCTCGGTGGGATTTTCTGGGAAGATGAGCAACAACATAGGAAGAGATATCGTATACTATCAAGTCACGGACCCAAGTGACAATGCGTTAGACCCCGAACCCGGAACTTTGAGATATGGGGCTGCCATCATCAGAGGGAAAAAGTGGATCACCTTCCAGAGGGACATGCGCATTAGGCTTGAGAAACCACTTCTTTGCATGCTTGGTGGTCTCTAAGGTACGTAATATAATATATATGCGTCCAAGTGTTCATCTTATACATCAATTTTCTTCTGAGTCAGAGAGCGTTCATAGAAGGGAATGATTTTTCTTTTCCTTTTTGGGAAATTGGTAGATCATTTTAATATTTTTGGTTCGACCAGACTATATCATGTTAATTCCTTAATGAATATTTTATACATACATCCATCAGGCAAGCAATGTAATCATCCATGGCCTTCGAATCCACCACTGCCGTTCCCAAGCACCAAGCTTAGTTATGGGTCCAGATGGAAAGAAAATGTCACTGGGCCAGGTTGATGGAGATGCAATCAGGTTGGTTACTGCATCAAAGGTTTGGATAGACCACAATACACTGTATGAGTGCGAGGATGGTCTTCTCGATATTACTCGTGGATCTACCGACATCACCGTCTCCAACAATTGGTTCAGAGACCAAGACAAGGTCATGCTTCTGGGCCACGATGATGGCTATTTTCGGGATAATAACATGAGGGTGACCGTAGTGTACAACCATTTTGGACCTAACTGCAACCAAAGAATGCCAAAGGTACGTATTAATTAATGAGCTGTTTTTCGAGGGGCTTAATTAATTTACTGCTAAATAGGCTACCTTTACTTTTCAACCGCTGTCTAGCTATTACTATAAGCAAAGTACGTAATATATACCTGTACAGAACTTGAGTATTATGTATGTATGCATGCAGGATTCGTTACGGATATGCACATGTCGTGAACAATCTCTACGGAGAATGGTCGCAGTATGCCATTGGGGGAAGCATGAACCCTAGCGTTAAGAGTGAAGCCAACCTCTTCATTGCACCAAAATCGAGAAACAATAAAGAGGTAATTAACTCAAATGTATATATATTAAGAATATATATAGCTAGCTACTAATAATAAAGTTCGAATGCAATGCACAGATCACTTGGAGGAAGGACAGCATTGGAAACAAAGAATCCTGGAAGTTTTACTCGGTAGGAGATATCTTTGAAAATGGGGCTTCTTTCGTCGAAACAGGTGCCGGCAGAGCAAAGCCAAACTATAACGGAGAACAAACTTTCCCAGTTGTTAATGCCAAATCTGTCCGCTCATTGACAAGGTCATCTGGTGCTTTAAAATGCATCAAAAGATCCAGATGCTAATTAGGCCTTACGCCCATCATGCGATGTGGAGATATGATATATATATAATCATGCCTGCACCTCAACAGAAATAATTAGGCTACACTCTCTGTTATATTACAAAATTCTACTTTTTACTTTTTCGCAAACATTGCATTCAACAAAATCTAGTCTTGATAAATAATAATTAGCCCCCTGATCATGTATGGCCAAACTGATCTGCCTAGCTAATAACATGTAATTAAGCAGACAAATTGTCCATATACCATAAATAAAGGGTGGAGAGAGAGGCCCCCAATTTGTAGAGGGATAAATTGTGTTTATAAAAGGTACTAATGGGTTGGCCCTGAGGCCCCCAATTTTTCATTTTTACTTTATGTCACAAACAGTAAACTTAAACGGCCAGACTAGTGGAGAAAGTGGGGAAACCATCCAGAAAATCCTTTTGTTGCAAGATAGCAGTTCATGAGTTATAAGATTTTTTGTCCCTCACAAATCTCAGGATCGGCCGTGTTTAGTGGAGCAACATTCATTTCTGTATTATATATTTTGAACTCTTGTTGTACCACAAAAGTCAATTTAATTACATACATATTTGAATACGAAATAAAATAAATGGATAACTACATATCCTTGCACTGTTCACGTCGATCGTCTAGTTAAGCAAATCTGGAAGCCGTTCACTAAACGAGCTGAGGGAAAGAAGGACATCCGATCTTCTTTAAGCTGAGTCCATCTGATTGCAATCCATATATCAGGTTTTAAAGTGGGAATTGTACGTACGATGACCAAGAACAATGAAAGATTTCAGGAGAGTGCATGCATGGATAATTTTTCAAACAGCTTATTCGTGATCGTGATTGTATAATAACTTCTTAAGCTTTAAATATTGAAATGTATGTATAAGAATTACCTATATGTTGTCACAAAGTAATGAAGGAAAAGGGTAATTTGAAGGCGAGCCAAATCAGCTCCTGGACAGAATCTGGCTCCTCCTCCAAAGGGTGCAAAATATGAGCTACTTCTCCAATTTCTTTTCTCCTACTCAGAAAATATGACATACGCACATGTTTTTTTTTTATATTATAACATATAAAAATGATAAACACCATTAACGTTTGTAATTAGAGGTCACTAACCTGATTTTCAAGGTCCATCCATCTCCATGGATTGAAGGTGAGGGCTTCATTGTACACATTTTCATCCAAATGAACTGCTGAAAGGAACGGAACCACAAAGCATCCTTTTGGAATAATGTAGTCTACCCAAAAACATTATGACAAAGAGTTAATATACGGAAGTGGCTCGATACCGGTTGTTGGTGGGCCTAACCCATTTAGGGTATTGACTTAAGGTAGGAACAATTTATGCGCATGATATGTAATTTAGACAGAGTAGTGGACTCTTATATAGACTTGGGACACAACAAATATATATGCCTAAATACCCAATTGTAAGGTTTCTTGAAGAGTCCATAATACGATGCGACCATTTCCTGGTTTTATAGATGATATGATGTCTTTATTAAGAAATAGAGAGGATGAAGTATCATACACATATGCAGATATACAAAAAGAGATCAAACTACCTTGGTACTCAACGTCTTCTTTTGCCTCCCTCATTAACCAAATTGCAATTCCCCCAAGGCGAAGTGTTTCATCAATGACCTGTACATATTGAAGATTACTTAGGTATCTAGTACACAGACATCATATGCTATCAATGAAAAAGGATAATTACAATTGTAGCCCTAAGTTAATTTCAGAATATTGTTTCAGCTTGGAGTTTTCTTTTCTTTAAATTAAAGTTGGGGAAAGATTAAATCTCGAATATGAAATCATGGCCTGTGACTAGTTTTTCTATTTGGTGATACTTACACATTGAGTAAAAGACATTGCTTTATAATCCTGCCATGTAAGCATTTCTTCTGCAACAAATTTGCCTCGGCGACTGTCTTGTTCATCCTGCCATGATCATAATTTCTACATCAAGGGATCTTAATTTCAAAGAGAAAGGATAAGATATTTTGACAGTATACATGGTTAGATTAATTGAGATATATATATATATATATATGTGATTTGAGTGACCTTACTTTTAGGGGCATTCTACAAGAAGTAAGTGACAAGTAGAGCTTTAACAAAATATTATGGTCATGACTTGCTTCGTATTGTTTAAGAAAATTAGATTACAATATGCCCTCATTAGCAGCAAAAACCGTAAGACGATCAGTGGTAAAGTTAAGTATAAGTACCACCAATTGTTTCATTGCTCTGGGACAATGAGTAAGGAAATAGACTGCAAACAGCATTGTTTTAGCAGTCGTTTCATTCCCAGCAAAGAGAAGATTGATAATAAAGTCTGCTACAGCTTCATCGGGTAAGCTTTCTTCCTCCAATAATCTCCCAAGCACGCCATTACCAACTTCTGTTGCGCCTTGTTCCCTGTATTTTTGCATTATCCTATTTATCTTGGTTATGATTTTTCCCCTAGCCTGCGAAACCATTAATTACACATTGATTATCACATCTGTAAAATTTAGTTACTTACTAGTTTGCATGCATAAAGAATCAGAAGAAACAGAAAAAACAAAAAAAAGAGCTTCAATTGAGGGATTCCTTCATATATAAGCTTATTTGAGGAAGACCCTTGTAGGTGACAGGTGATACATAATTCCAGTGGAAAGTTAAATATATCTACGCTACGCACCTTCATCGCAGTATGATAAGCAAAACCTCGAAAGTTGATTGGAACAGAGAGACAACCATCAACGAAGTCGGAGAACAATTGAGTCATCTCATCAATCTCTGACTCGCTCGATACTCCCAAAAGTTGATTAACCATTAGATTTATAGACACCTGCAGCATGGTATATTATTTAGGTACGCGATGGAGGAGAATCCTGAAAATCAATATCAGGGGTTGGAACTTGTTACCTTTCTACAAACATCCTGGAGAAGTATTACTTGATTGCTTGGAAAATTGCTCAAAGTTTGAGTCATAACCATTTGAACATTTTCCAAGAAATTAAACTTGAGTTTCTCTAGACGCATCATGTTGGAGGCGATTCGATGGAGTTTCCTTTGTTGCTCTCCATGCACCGTTATCACACCATTTTTCCCTACCAAATCTTTGAAAGATTTTGGATAACTAGACTGGAACAGTTTCCCTTCATTTTGCATTACAAACCGGTTAAAGGTTGGGTCTGCTGATACCACAGACCGTTTTCCAAACAGACTGCATGAGAATATCTTGCCAAACCTGTTCAAAATTAAACACAAATCTTGCATTAATTATATATAGCCAAACGTTCCAAATTGCAGACTGCAGTAGTAGTGCATACCTTTTGACCTGTTGTTCAACAAAGTGAGGGGGATGGGAACTTGCGACCGCATTGTACCAACTGAAGCTGTCCCCAACTATTGGCCAGCCTCTTCTCCCTGGTGGCAATTTGTATGTGCTTCTCCTGATTACCACCTTGTTTCTTCTCCTAATTAATTTCGCAAGAAAAAAAATGAACAATAGTGTCGTCGAGATCAGAAGCAGGCTGCTCGCCGCGAAAAAGTCTCCCACCATTTCCTATCAGAGCTAGGGAAATTAATAGATTCGGAGGAAGGAGGAAGGAGAGATCAGCTCAAACCTCTCTGCCAGCCAGAAATATTTATCGTTGACGGTAATTAACTTGAACATATATATTATATAAGAAGGGAATTCAACCACTAGTCTAGTACAAGTTACAAGTTACAAGACAAGACAAACATGATTATATTTATTATTAAAATAAAACAAGAGTAATAATTAATCAATTAGTTGCTGAGCAGGCATCGTTGACGGAACCATGTCGAGTTACAGAGAGAAATTAGATTGCCATCATCCCTTAAATGTATTCATAGTCTAGGAGAGGAGGAGAGGAGGCACCCCCACCCCCCAATCATGATTCATCATCAGTTTTCTACTGATTATCAATTATTATTATATCTTGCTAGCTCGACTCTAACTGTTTATTCTTTTCTCATAAACTTGGGAGCCACATGGGTAGAATTCTGGAATGTCCCCTTTTTGGGGTGCATTATAAGTTTCAATATATATATTAGCTTGTTCAACTGCAAAAGCATGAATCCAGGTGAGGTGCGTCGTACGTCTTCAAGTTTAAGAGATCCTAATTAACGCAATTAAGTTTGACCACTTGCTCTGTTTATGTGTGTATATATTTTATTCGTATGAACAATCAATATTTATATAGCCACCTTTAAGTCTTTGACACATTTCCAAGCGCATAATCATTCGCCCCAATTTGTAAGCTCGAGACTCACTTTCTTTGGCTTGGCAGCTCTACTTGATACAAATTATATCAGCCTTGAGCAACGGAACCTTTTATTTGGCTTAAATATTGCCGCTTTAAGTTTTAGGTTAGGTAGGACACACTTGTCAATTCATCCAAGAATCAAGGTCCTAAATTTGTGCCATAATTTATCAAGAGGGTGTGGAAATGGTCCTTAGATCGCAATTATATATGCCAGCAAAAACCAGCCAAGCATACTTCTTTCGAGTAGCACGCGCCCCATTCCCAAGCTCTCGGCTTACCACTAACTGTCAAGGTTCTATTTTAATACTTCTATGTCAAATGCAATAATGAGAGATCATTCAACCCCCTCGCCCAAATCCCTCACATTGTAGCATCTCCCGTCCTCTTTATTCTCCCTAAGAATTTTATAGTGAGGGCATTATATATGGCCTTTAGGTGAGACTCTTTGATCAAATTGGTTAACATGATCCAACAATTGAGAAATAAAACCTCACCTAAATGCCATATATAAAGACTTAACTATAGAAAGACTCTTGTTAACCGCAAAAAACAGACCCATATATGGAGGTAGTTCGAAAGAAAGCCCAGGACTTGGCTATCCACATTGGGGAGCTTCTAGAATGCAGAGGTTATTATGAGGAGGTTATGTGCGGAATGATAACAACCGTCAGTTTCAAATGAACGGTTTAGATTTAAGTAGGAAGTTTTGTTACAACCGGGTTAAAATTACCCATCACAAAATGAGCAACCCGGAACTTCTCTCTCATATCTCCTCTTTTCTTTGAAACAGAGGTCCAAAGTCCTATGTCTGAAACTTCCTCTGGAAGACAAACAAGAGCTGTCCCTTTCCAACTTCCAGAAGCCGAATTTGCTACTCCGAAAAGAAAAAAACAAAGACACTCAACTGTGGAGAACGCTGCTGAAGGAGGAGGAACAAGGGTTGAAGCCCACAACTCAATTCTTTCACTGGTATGTGATTTTTCAGCCATATTACAAATCCTTTTATTCAAAAAATATTCTGTTTTGTTAGCCCCTGTCATTAATGTTGTAGAAAATGGCTTATCATTACCCATTACCTAAGAGCTCTCTTATTTTGTCTTTGTGTCACGAAAATTATTTGCAAGATCGTCATAGTAGAGAGAAGAAGAAAAAGAGACAAATGATATGTTGAAAGAGCCTCCAGTAGTCTCTCACTCGCCTAACTTTGCACTCCGTTTCTGAACGAGTAAAACCCAAGTTTTGAAGAACTTGCAGTACTCTTCTTCAACTCCAATTGTGGTGGTAAGTCAAACACTGCAAAACCACTTCTCTTTGTTTCTAAGTTTCACTCATTTTGCTTTTAATGTTTTCCAATTTCTTGTAATCATTATTATTTTTTTTTGTTATCTTTTGTATTTATATTTCATTTGAAAATTTGATTTTTACAGTTTTTATTTTATTTTCATACATAAATATTCTTTCTTTCTTTTAATAATAAATAATGAAAATAACAACACATTAATCTAATGGTGATCTTTATGGGTATTGCATACATATAGTAAAAACAAGTTCTCTAAAAATATATTGGGTTTGTCCTACCTCAATTTATTTTATGAATTTCTAATAATTGATAATCTGCTACAGGTTGACACAAGTTTGCATCTTAATTTTCCATATGTGCTCTTATGGAAAAGTTTAATTGAATCAACATAGAGGAGACATTAAACGGAAGCAAGAAACAGAAGGATCAATTTTGCTCCATAACATAGGGGAGTTGCATTCAAATTCTTGGATTTGTTGCTGGTAAGTTTTTTTTTTAAAATCATTATAGATGTCTTTGTTTTCAACTAATGATGGTACAAGATTTAAATTGTTTTCATGATTATTTTGTTTTGTTTTAGCTATTTCTGAAATGTTTGATTCAAATGTTATCTAAGGTATCAATAATATGTGAGTAAAATGGTTGGGGACTCAGAGGAGAATGATGATTGTGTAATCGTTGATGAAATGATTTTCATTCCTGAAGTCAGAAATGAGGAAAGACCAAAAGTTGGGATGAAGTTTGATTCACTTGATTTAGTTTATGATTTCTACAATACGTATGCTTTATTGGCTGGCTTTAGTATTCGACGCCATTCCAGCGGAAGGGAAAAATACAGTAAAGAAATTCTAAGAAAAGAATTTGTATGTTGCAAACAAGGTGTGTTTAAAAAAGAAGAGCCTATGGCGGTAAAAAGACACCAAGGGATAAGTAGATGTGGTTGCAAGGCTAGAGTTGTTGTTGTGAAGGTTTCTGGGTGCAAGCAGTATGCTTTCTCTCTCGTTGTAGAGGGACACAATCATACGATGACGCCCCCAGAAAGAGTGCATTTTATGAGATCACACCGTCATATTTCAGAACCTGCAAAGCTACTGACAAAACAACTCGGTTCAGCTAATATACCTACTCATAAAAAGATGAGTATTTTGGAGGTGCAATCTGGAGGAATGGAGAAAATTGGTTTTACCAAAAAAGATATTTACAATTTCGAATATTATGAGAGTGACCTAATGAAGAACCATGATGTTGAACTGGTGACTGAGTATTTTTTAGCTGAACAGAAAAACAATAGATCATTTTATTTCAAGATTGAGGGAGATTCCAATGACAGGCTTACTCGATGTTTTTGGGCAGATGCAACTTCTAGACGAGC